AAAAAAAAAAAAAAAAGCTAAGGGGTAAGAGCCTGGGGTGCCCATGGGTCTCAGGGAGAGGCTGTGGTGCAGAAAGTACTGTCCCGCCCTCCTCTCAAAGGTTCTGCCGGCTTTCCCACAGAGACTTCTTAGGATGAGGGAAGACTGGTGTAGCTTCCTGCCTGAACAGCCATTAATTCATGCTCACAAATACATAAATATTGGTAAGTTGATATTCCTGACATAGGGAATGTTAATGATTATTCCAAGCATTTTTTTTTAAAAGGCATATTTCCTGCCTTCCCTTTGCAAAGGGGATAATTTACATGATTATTTCAGTGAAAGTTTCTGAAACACTTTCCCATTAAACGGACATCTTTGGGACACAAGGCAAAGAAATGTGTCACACACACTACGGGTGTGTCTTTCAAGAATTCTGGAATATTAAACTGCTGATTTGTAAAGTAAACATTTTATAAATTAATAGGAAAGTCTTTTTCTTCAGAAATACCTGAAAAAACCAGAATGTTTAAAACGCGGTGGTAGATCTTGGAACTGCTCGCATCTAACTGTCCACTTCTCAGTTTTGGGAAAGGGTGGGCTGGGATAGCGGGTGTGTGCTGAATCTCCGCGGGCAGGTGAAGTGCAATTGGCAAACTCGATGAAACTGATCAGAGGATCTGTGCGTTTAATTTTCGGTAAATTGTAACTCGGGTCTTTTAAATAGGGAGCGGTAGTTAACACCGGGTGGTTAGTCTGCTAAGCCCAGCTCGCTAGTCTCAGGCCGACCCCGCACTCCGGGCGGCTGGGAGCACGGGGAGGAGCGTCCCTGTGAGGGTTAAATGAGATGATGTTTCTAAAGGGCACCTAGCCGATGGAAAGCGCTTGGTACACGCTACTTACAACTGTTTATTATGAAAGATAAACAGGTTACTCCTCACACACACACACACACCCCAGCACCCACGAACCTGACGAGCGCTGCTTCCCGGATGGATAACTCGGTAACTACCCCTACACTGCCTGCTGCCCTTTGCTCCATCACAAGTCTTCCCAGGTTAAAAAGTCTCTCGGCCACGAGGATGAACTCGCCTGCCCGAACTCAGCTCCGGTGAAGGCACCCGGCCCTGCGAGCAGAGGCAGCTCCCCAGCGCCGCTTCGCCCTCGCCTCCACCTTCACGCCGCCTCCACCCTCGCGCCGGCGAACTCGCTCCGGCCGCCGCTCTCGGAGCCGGAGCAGCGTCACGTGGCCCCTGGCCCCGCCCCCAGCTCCGAGGCTGATCCCGCCCCACTCTGCTCACGCGGGGACACGTGACTCTGGCCCCGCCCCCACGTAGAAACTCAGCCCTCTCCGCCCCGGGTCAGGTGACGCCTGGCTCCCGCTTCCTTGCGGATCTAGCGCTTCCGCCGCACCGTGAGCTACGCGCGGACGGGTGGCTTAGGCGGAGATGGCGACCACTCTGCAGCGCATCGAGCGCCTGTCCAGTCGGGTGGTACGCGTCCTGGGCTGTAACCCGGGTCCCATGACCCTGCAGGGCACCAACACCTACCTGGTAGGGACCGGCCCCAGGTAAACGCCTCCTGCCTCCACCCCGACCCCGACCCCGATCCCGCCACCTAAACGCTGGCCGGCGGGACGCGCGGAGCTGGGGCCGCGATCGCTGCTCGCCGCTGGCAGGATTGCGGCCCCGGCCGGGCCGGCCCCGCCAGAACCATCCTCAGATGCCCGGACCCAGGACCTCCCCTAAAGCACGACCACCCCGGGTGGTAACCTCTCTGGGGGAGAAGTACTTTTTTTAAAAAACTTCCTGTTTTTGAAACCCGGTTTACTTTGCTTGATGTCGAATGCCAGGGTGAGCGTGTTTAAGTGGTTGAGAAATTAGTGTCGCCCTGAGTTTTTAAAAATCCAGAAAAACGTTGACTCGGCTCACCTTTCACTCGTCTGTTGCCCCGAGTGTAACTTCCCCTTCACAAAAGCAATCGTGCTGAGGCCTTTTTCTTAACTCGGCAGCAGAGGGCGGCAGGGTTATCTTGCTTCCATGTTGCTGGAGCCTGAAACCCAAAAGAGCCACACTCGCCCCTGCCCCAGCCCTTGGGAAAGAAGAGCTTACTACTTTTGTTTATGTTTGCTAATATTGTGTGGCCTTTTTCGGTTATTTTGCGGATGGAATAACCTATCTCTGTTTCTTAGATTTTCTTTTCTCTTGTTTAGCGGCATTCTGTTTTATGCAGAAATGAAGAGGTGGTTTATTGCACAATAAGTGCACTGGGCAGTTTTTGTGTACTTAGTATAACCTAGATAATAAGAATAAAGATAAGATAGTTCTCTTAGGCATAGAATTTAGTTGTGCAATCAAGACGTGTTACAATTAATAAAATACACTTGAATATTAAATACAGTTTAATAAGTATAGTTTATTGAGATTTTATATGAAGTACCTACTGTATTTGCCTTTTTCCAGCAAATCAGAATTTTAGAAGCAGCAGGNCTGGCCCCGCCCCCAGCTCCGAGGCTGATCCCGCCCCACTCTGCTCACGCGGGGACACGTGACTCTGGCCCCGCCCCCACGTAGAAACTCAGCCCTCGCCGCCCCGGGTCAGGTGACGCCTGGCTCCCGCTTCCTTGCGGATCTAGCGCTTCCGCCGCACCGTGAGCTACGCGCGGACGGGTGGCTTAGGCGGAGATGGCGACCACTCTGCAGCGCATCGAGCGCCTGTCCAGTCGGGTGGTACGCGTCCTGGGCTGTAACCCGGGTCCCATGACCCTGCAGGGCACCAACACCTACCTGGTAGGGACCGGCCCCAGGTAAACGCCTCCTGCCTCCACCCCGACCCCGACCCCGATCCCGCCACCTAAACGCTGGCCGGCGGGACGCGCGGAGCTGGGGCCGCGATCGCTGCTCGCCGCTGGCAGGATTGCGGCCCCGGCCGGGCCGGCCCCGCCAGAACCATCCTCAGATGCCCGGACCCAGGACCTCCCCTAAAGCACGACCACCCCGGGTGGTAACCTCTCTGGGGGAGAAGTACTTTTTTTAAAAAACTTCCTGTTTTTGAAACCCGGTTTACTTTGCTTGATGTCGAATGCCAGGGTGAGCGTGTTTAAGTGGTTGAGAAATTAGTGTCGCCCTGAGTTTTTAAAAATCCAGAAAAACGTTGACTCGGCTCACCTTTCACTCGTCTGTTGCCCCGAGTGTAACTTCCCCTTCACAAAAGCAATCGTGCTGAGGCCTTTTTCTTAACTCGGCAGCAGAGGGCGGCAGGGTTATCTTGCTTCCATGTTGCTGGAGCCTGAAACCCAAAAGAGCCACACTCGCCCCTGCCCCAGCCCTTGGGAAAGAAGAGCTTACTACTTTTGTTTATGTTTGCTAATATTGTGTGGCCTTTTTCGGTTATTTTGCGGATGGAATAACCTATCTCTGTTTCTTAGATTTTCTTTTCTCTTGTTTAGCGGCATTCTGTTTTATGCAGAAATGAAGAGGTGGTTTATTGCACAATAAGTGCACTGGGCAGTTTTTGTGTACTTAGTATAACCTAGATAATAAGAATAAAGATAAGATAGTTCTCTTAGGCATAGAATTTAGTTGTGCAATCAAGACGTGTTACAATTAATAAAATACACTTGAATATTAAATACAGTTTAATAAGTATAGTTTATTGAGATTTTATATGAAGTACCTACTGTATTTGCCTTTTTCCAGCAAATCAGAATTTTAGAAGCAGCAGGATGAAGGAACTAAAGTATTGCAAGTCAGGCAGGCAA